TTTGACTTAAGAGATTAAAAGGGACACATAGTGTAATGGGCACACAACTAGATAGAGTAGAGCCAAGTAGGGCTGGTGGAAATGGGGCTTATGACATCACACTCTTAAAACACTACTTAAACAAAAGTAGTGCCATACATTAGTTTTGGCAATTCCTCAAGTGCAATGATGTTCCTCACACTCACATGCCTGTGTGTGCAGCCTATATTTTTTTAATGGGAAAAAATATATAATCAAATATCTCCATATTAGTTCACAAGCTAAAACAACAAATAGTGTAATTGCTATTGAATGCCCAATAGTAATAATATCATCAAACTTTCCTAAAATGTAATTCTGTTTTTATAAAAGATACTGAAATATGTACATGCACTCCAGTTCAGATAACTTTACTATGTCAATCTTTCCATTATTTTCTCTTTTCTTTTCCACATTAGCGACTGAACGTGTGTAGCTATTAGCTTTAGGTGAGCCACCGCATTAACTTGACTGTTCAGGCCTGACTTGAACTGCTCACATTGTTATCTGTGCAGTAATTCATTGGAGCCTGATAGCGATGTCTCCAGTTGTGCAGCGTTTGTGTTCTATTATGATGTCTCCAAGTCCTTTTGTACAAGCAGACAAAACCACAGTAGATTTGGCTGAGCTGTTGGTCCAATCAGCAGTATTTTCTCTGCTCTTGCCCCGGGCTGGAGTCAGATGTTCCTTTGTATGACCAATTTGAACACTGTGTTTTTACAAGAACTGCTCAGCAACCAAGAAAACAGCTTAGATAATGTGCACTACTGCAGTTACAGATCTAAAACAATCTCATCACTATCGCCTGACGTCATGTCCACTTGTACTTGGTAACAGAAAAATAGAAATAAACGTACAACTAAATCAAGAGACGTAAAGTCATTCATATACAAATATATTCAAGTGGAAGTCATGAACATTTATGAACATTAATAGACATTGGTCATCTGCCTCTTATGGACCAATGGCTCTATGTGTTTTTATCAATGCATTTCCTGTTTTTGAACCGTTTGATTCTCAGATCTGTGTCGGCGAATCAACAACTTTGTAAAGTCCTCCGAGATAACTACTGTTGTGATTTATGGCTTTACAAAAAAAAATTAAATGAATTGAATTCTGTGGATAAAAAGTGACTGGTATATGTAGGAAAATAGATGGATGAAATAAATGTTCAAATAAAAGAAATAGATATGTTTATTTTTGAGTTAATCTTTTTTCCCACTCAAAATAGATTGAAAATTGTTAAAGTCGGGGTACGTAACTTTCAAACCAGATATAATACATTTCAATAGTTCCTCGCTCTCGAAACAGTTTGGTTCTATCTTTAGTTTGGTTTTTTTGACCGTTTTTATATGTTTTATGCACATTTTTATTTCTAGTTTTCACTGTCACATCACAACCAATCAGCTTTTTTAAAACTGAAATGTTTAAAAGAGAGGACCACCCTCCCTCAGCCAATCAGTTCTCAGCCCAAAGCATCAAATAGTGACTCACGGGGCTCTTTCTTACAAGTTTGCAAAAGAAAACATGAAAGACCAAATGAACCTTTCTAAAATATAGAAAAAAAAACATGCTTTTTAATTGGATTGTTGCGGTCTGATGTATTCCCAAAATACTTTTATACGGCTCTTTCTGTGATGACAAACATAATAAGCATAATAATCATAAGACATAAGACCTTCATGTCAAATTTCTAATGTTAAATTACTGGGGGTTAAAAGTTAGGTACCCCAGCTTTAATTACAGTCGTCCATTGAGTTTTGATGGACATGGCTGGTCTTATCGTGTAGTTGGGTTGAACTGTTGCGTGGCTGCAGTTCAAAGGTGGCGGAGACTACAGCTGTGTGTGACGTACAAAGCTACTCTCCGCACTCACTGGATCAGGGCTTTCTGGTTAATAAATGTCAAAAACAGCCCTCGACCAACTCCACTGGCCGTTTTATTTGGACTTCTGAGCCGTTTATCCGGGTTTATCTTAATGCATACACAGTTAGTTGATCGTCAGCAGCTGTTACTTCGAGATTACTGTATTTACTTGTGAAAGGAAAAAGCGGGACAGCTCTGGCCATTTTTTTTATGACTCACAGGGAAGAAAGACTTCAGATGCTTTTGAGCAACATGAGAAGTTACAAATAAAGTCAGTTCTGCGTAGGTGTATGACCTTTTGTGACATTTGCGATTCAAGATAATTATTTTAGTGGCATTTTTGATGTTGTAACCTCGTTCATATTATTTAAAGTGTCTAATTTGAAACTAACAGAATTATGCACTAGACAAATATAAAGTCCAATCAACAGATAATGAGGTTTAAGAATCAGTGGCAATGCCTGCTGTTTAATGATGTAATAACATTAGGGCTGCAACTAAGGGCTATTTTGATAACTGATTAAAATAGTGATTGTTCCTGTGTTTAAATGATTCGTTTAATATGTGAATATGTGAGTTTTACTTATATTTGACACAGATAAAGCTGCTGCATGACAATAATTTTTTTTGTTTCGGATTCATGCAGCTAAAGTCTTCCTGAAAATTTGAGACAGAATTCTCCTCTGAAAACGTTCAAATTCAGGGTGAAAACATTTGTGTTTAGCTGTGCATACAACTGAAGGATTGAATCGTCACCTTTTTTAATGTACTGTGATTATTCATGATTGTGTCATAGTTTCGTTCTTTGAGTTTCCTTTCGTACAAACTTTTATACATACCGTAAATACATTTGCCTTGCCATTTTATTATTAATCATTTATGCATTTCTTAAATACTGTCCTGGTTTAATTCATCAAATCACATCTCAAAACACTTCTGTATATTGAGCAGTTAACAAATAATCGATTACTAAAATAGATTATTGAAGAAACTTGATTAGTTGAGATTAAATCGTTAAAACTCCTATGTACATATACAGTTCTCCGCTTTCATAGCCCATGTTGTATTCATTTTAGTTTAGTAATCACAATCTCATACTCTTAATGTTGTAATAATTCTTGTGGTGCACTGCAGGAGGTAAACCAACACTTTGATTGCATAAGATTTCTCCCCGCTCCTCTGCCGTAAATCAGCCCTCCCCGGGTTGAAGTAAAATATTAGTGCTCCATTACCCAAATGCTGCCATTCTCTCGATGAAGCGTAAGCAGCTATCCTGTTTTTATGAAGAGCTGCTTCTGCAGGACGGCCCGGCTGTTGCAAATAAAATAAGTTTATGGTCGTTGGTAGATGGGCTCATCAAATATGGTCTGCGTGTATTATTCATAAGATAACCGCTCGTGAAAACTATTGCAATCCTGTGGTCCATAAATCTTAGCAGGCTGTCTGAATGCAATGACTATGTTGACCATTTTAAACACCATTTGCCCCGACTGCATCATTTTACAAACCGGCTCTATATTTAAGATCTTATTTAGCCAATGTTTACATAATTTTATACAAATCAAATGTGTTTTGTTGCTTCTTTTGTTTTTTGTTTTTTGATAAGTTCTCCAACCTTGAATGTAATATGTTAGTATTTGCACTATCTTATCACTCAAACAGACAGTCTCTTTCCTTTGGAGCGGTAGTGTCTCTGTAAATGAGTTTACTCTGCAACTTGAAACCTGGCAGCAAGTTAAACTTTCAGCCAGTGAATATTTGTTGTTTGCCTGAGAGCAGCAGTTGATACTTTTTGGATGATTTTATAAGAGTGACTTGCAACACGACCATCACAATAATAAGTATGGTAATTTAGTTATAAAAAAAGAAGTGCAAAAGAAGTAAAACATCTGTGTGTCAAGATTTCTTTACATTTTAATTTCTTGAGTTGTGCAGATTATATATTTGTCCATTTGGCTTTTTGTTGTTGTTGTCCTGGACCTGCAGTGTTGTCAAAGCAAAAGTCAAGCATGTTCTCCCTGTCTGTGTAGGTTTTCTCTGGGTGCTCCGGTTTCCTCTACCAATATTCTTTTTTACAATAGGACTGGTTGGTGATGGTCAGAGAGTCTGGTATGCCAGATTCTGTCATCAGATTATAAAGATCAGTGTAACCACATTGGTGGATGATAAATATAATAAAACAAAAAGCAAAATACATACATTATAAGCTTGTGATCCATTCAGTATTACAGAGAATCTACACTCTCCCTCTGCTTGTTTTCAGCTGATGCTAAATGCACTGTGGTGTCTGTGTTGAGTGCTGTGTAGTGGCTGTTGTGGCTGTGTGGAGATTCCCACAGCGCACACAAAGCTTTCATTCACAGAGTCCCTCACTCGGCTGTCGCTCTCTCTCTCTGCTCCTCCGGGGGCTCGCAGTCCCCTAACTCACTCTTTCCCAATTAGCTGATCACAGAGGGCCAGGCCAGAGGTCACACACAGGGTCAAAGGCTTTTCGTTTCAGCTATTCTACCCCTTCAATTACCTCTATCAGGCGGGAAAGAAGCCTAAGTTGATTATTTGGTGGGGAACAACTGCTTTTATTAGGTTTACTGACCATAATGATGTCACACCAGTACATATTCACCATGCAAATGAGTCATTATGCTCTCAAGCTTTGATCATTCTTAAACTGTGTCATTGCGGTGTGTCGAGTACCCCGATATTTGTAATACATAATCATAAATACCAGACTTGAGAAGAAGTAATTGTCAGTCCCCAAATAGTTTGGCCACGGTGCAACCCTTTGTAACATGAAACATCCCCTCTATTGGTTCCTACTATCTCAAATGTGTTATTTGTAATTACCCGCCAAGGGGTAATGTGATCGCCTTTGATTGTGTGTGTGTCTCTGTGGGAATGGCAATTTAGCTCAAGCTTTAAACTAATTATTTATGATTATTATTATATGTTTCTGCAATTAGGATCTTGAATCACAACAAAACAGAACTACACCAAATCCACTGCTTACTTTTGTTTTTGTTGTTTTTTATGTCTCATATATTTTCAACATATTCTACTGGTTTTGTTAGTTTTTCTTTGGACATTCCTTTGTATTGTAAACAGTGCCTCTTCCCAGTATGGCCAAATTGGGTCTAGCACTGGGTAATCTTGAGAACTTGCCGATCAGCCGTGGTGAGATGGGGTCATGCTGTGATGCGGCTGGGCGAGCTGGCGGCGTGTCCCTGAAGCACGCCTGGTATGCAAACAAAGACGATACCGGAGGAACGCCTCATCACCACCTCCCTGTCAAAGCCTGCGATACGTGTGAATCAGCCTCAAGAATGCACACCTACACCCAAAAACGCACAACATCGTGACATACAACTGCAAACGCACACAAGGCAGATGGACTTGTGCACATCGCCATGGCAACAAACACACCACAAAAAAACTATTCATTTTGGCAATTCTTGTTATCAATGTGGCCTGTACGTTTGAGATGCAACACACACTGTATTGTCCCAGTTTATCATATCAAAAGTTTTGACATTATGTCTTTGTGCCAAATCCTTTTCTCTGACCATATTATCAACTGACCACTTGTAAGTTAAAGCTGTACCTGACTTTAATACCACGCATAAATAACTGTGTAATAAAAGCCATGTGTTTTGTGTCTAGCTCCCAAAACTGTTTTTTTTTCTAACACCAATTTTTTTACTTTGATATTTTTCAGCTTTTTCAGTGAAAAAAAGAGTACCAGCCCTCACTCACCTCTCAGTAATGCATGTAAAAGATAAAATGTTTTCTAATAATAATAATAATTATGGATGTAGCATGTTGTGGTCTGATTTGTTCACAAAATGTTTCCAAAACAAGACCCTGTTGGGACATTGTGTATTTTAAGTTTCCTTCCATGTGTATATTTGTAGTGGTTTATGTAATTTTAGAGAACAGTATTATTTTATTTTAATTTGACCTCTTATTTTTAATCAGGTTCAAATTCTGTCTTTCAAGAGTGACCTATCCAAAAGTGGTACAATCAAAGCGACAGTACAGGTAATATATAAATTACCTTTACAGAACATTAGATTGTTCTGTAAAACTGTAAAAAGAAAACAAAATAGTCTAGTCTTTGTAATATTTGTTCTGCACAAAAAAACAACACCAAGAAGCAAAGATAAGAAATATGAATTTGTACGTATCAAAATGAATAATAAATTATACAGTAGACACACCATGTACTGTTGGTTTGTCATCTCCGAAAAGTGTGAAACTCCTGGGCTGTTTTTATTTTTAAAACAGCCCAGTTGCACCAACACTTCCACTCCAAATGCTACTTTTACTAAAACCTTTTCAGAAAAATGTGAGAAATTAATGTGTCGGTGTAATTGCATGTTTATTTACACACTATATCTATTGTGTAGTATCAACATTTGAGTACATTTTCTTATCTTCTGTTTACTTCAGGTCTTTTCATGAGCCTGCTGCACTCGAGTATGGATGATCCCAGCTGAGGCCCTGATTGTCTGTCCCAACGCAGACCACAGAGCTGCGACCGCTAATGCTCCTCAGATGTTCGTCAGCTGATGAAGTCCTCCGTGTGGCGGCGGCTTTCACTGAGGCCACAGCTGCATACGGGGACGCTGTGGTATGAAATCCAACGGTTAAAAGGTAAACAATCATTCATGACCTATATTGTCACTGCCCTTTTTTAGTAAAGACAAAATATTGTGTTATCGGATTCGCAGTATTAGGTCATGGTTTGGCCCTCAAAAGGTTGCGTTCATGTTCAAAAACTCAGTTGGCAGGTGCTGATCCATCTCTAATGGGAAATGTTTTTAAATAAATGTCTTAAGGTTTTCCCTGGTCATTTGTTGTTAGGGATTAGATTCACAAACCTGCCATATTGTTCTAATGTCTGGCTAACATCATGCATATGTTTTTTTATTAATCGTCACTACTTCTAGACACCTTTATGATAAAACAATGAGACCATAGTTGATACTGTATGTACTGACAAAGACGATGTCGACAGTTATTGTTTCATATTGATTGGCCCAAGACGTAGAGAGAAATTAGCTCCAAGCAAGGATAGAAATCTAACTTTTGACAGTTACCATAGTTACCAGGAAGAAAAAAAAATCAACAACCCTCCACCACAATTTTAAACTATAGGTGCTTTGGAATGTGATGTCACATGAATCCAACCTGAACTGATCCATCAGGTGACAAACAGGGAAATATAATAATATATGGAGAAACGATACTAAAATGCAGTTTCCTTTCTTGCATACTAGAACGAGATGAGGGATCTGGAAACCTTTATCTGCCCGCACACATATTGTGGACCTACGTTACCACGTTATTAGCATTTGTCAGTGGGGATAGGACTTATCAAAGCATACAGCAAGCACAGGGGGTCGCGGCTTAATCATCCAGGGGATAGAAGGACATATGGCAGAGTGATTACAGCGGCATTCACCTGCTGACTGCCTTCCACAATCTGAATTAAGATGCCTTCCTCTCAGCAGGAGAGGGACTGTATCCGGAGACACTAAATGCAAACCGTCAGGTCACATCCCCTTAGCCAGATCAGGATTTTAACTCTGGGTCAATTCAAGGAGATTTCAAACACAGATTTGTAGAGAGTTTACCTTAAAGCAGATTATTTAGCCCTATTTGTCTATTAGTACCTGGGTATTGATTTCTTTATATAACTGTGACCAATAGTCTCATGCACAAAACGTGACCTTATCATTATAGTCAAATTGAATTATACTGTATAAAGTTACATTTCTATTGTCATCATTATAGTACAATTTGGATTAAGGACCCTTGAATGATCTTAAAAATCAAGTTACAAATGTTGGTATTAATTGTGACAAGACTTGGAGCACTTGGAGTTTTGTTGTGGTGTGCTCATACAGTGAGTAGGCCAGAGGCTGTGTGGGCCAGCACATCTAATCCAAGCAGTTGGGAGTGAGTGGCTGTTTTATCCAGAGCCATTTGATTGTATTAACTGAGGTCATTCGCCAAAGTGACCCAGCTCAGAACTGACTTACTTTCGAATGTAACAGCCTTCGTAATCATTTCACTTGGCTGCTAAGTACAAGCTTATTATAATCATCTATACCTCATTTTACTAATGACGTGCCAAATGTAACATTACGAGTCAAATGAAATGGTAACATGGCCTTTGTTGTATAATAAGCATTGCTAATGCTGTAATAGTCTTCACAAATTACAATGAACTAATCTAATTGTTGGCTAACTTTAGGGACAGAATTACTGCATAAGGACAGGATAAGGATAACACATGTTTAAGTCAGTCATTGATACTTAGAATGTATGTTTTTCCAGGAGTAGTATGCGATTGTTGTACAGACTTTTGAACAAGATATGAGCAACTTCATTGAATTGGATGAATGCATCAGAAAGAATATGGCAAATAAACTACATCCAATGCTTTTCTCTAAGCCTCTAATTCTATAATACAACCCAGTTCACTGGTTTTAAGCTGATTTTCTAACTCAAGTACAGTGATCCATATTGCAAATGTTTGTCAAATGAAAATTAGAGGCCGTTAGAGGTTGACTCACGGTTGCTTAAATTGAAATTTTTGTAGCCTTTCTTACCACTTTACCACTGACCCTCCTTCTGCAGGGCTTCTCTTGGCGTGTTGCATTGCCTTAAGAGGACATGCCATCACTCCTTATTACACACACAGGGAAAGGCAAGGGAAAATAAGTAGGCCATGCTTGCATTATCTGTTTTTCCCGCTGCGAATTTGGTCCGTAGCAAAGCTGACAAGGGCTGAGTGTCCAGTGGGGGATGTAGTGACATGTCTTTATAGGTACATTGTACCGAGGCATGAGATCCATCTCTTTAACCATCAGCATTTATGCATCATATTTCATTTACAGTAGTGGTCGTAATAATCATATTATGTTTAGGATGCCTGTTTCTTCACATTGACATTATCTATTTATGGGATGTTCACTAAATCTGGCCACAACCCCCTGGAATAAATTATAAAGTTTTAATTTATGATAATTCACTCAATCTTTCTATCTTGTACGTCTCTTTTGCATCATTATCATCATCATCTTCATCTTTACAAAAATGAAAGAAACATTTTACTATATTATATTACACATTATAATTTGTTAAACAATCACTTAATTCCTTGGACACTTAATTGGTCTCCAGGTGTTGCTCTGTGTGGTCAGGACTAACTTTTCTAGACAACATTTTGTGGGTGATCGGGGAAACCGGTGTGCTCCAGGGGAAACCCTTCCAGACACCCAAACATGCAAATGCAACACCGGGCCGACACAGGATTTGAACCTACAACCTTCTTGCTGTGAGTACCACTCAGGCTTGTCACAATACTGAAGAGGATGGGCTGATTATCTGCTAGTTATTTTTATAATAAGAATGAATACATTTATTTGTACAGTGTTAAGGAAACCTTATAGAATATAGCATTTAGAGCTGGTGCATTGAAGGGCATATATTATCAGATAGTTTAATGACATTTCCATAAGCAAACATTATAGAGGCTTTGTTATTTTGTGAAGTTATGATGACTGTCCAGACTCTTCAGCTTTACTTCTATGATTCCGTGTAATGTCCTCAAAACCTACTCAACCAACCAATGAAGTCACTTTTGTTGTATCCATTTGAGACTGTTGTAATTGACAATAACATGGATCAAATTATCCACATCGTATTTAGTTTTAATCCTGATAATCTTTGTTAAATCCATCGGTATGGGCTTGGATTAAGTGTTAAACTGAATATCCACCTGGAAGTTATTAGTTGTTACAGGAGAATAAACCTAATTAGGCATAGAGGGTCACTCCTGGGACCGTCCTGGGTGAGCTGCCTTCTGTTGGCACTAGACTTGAGTAGACCACCAATACAGAGCACTGTGTCGCTCCCGCCTTCTCTCGTTGTGGGCTCCTTTTCCATGCAGTCTTCAATTATTTAACAGGCACCAGCTTAGACAGTGCACTGAATGTAACTAGTGTTGCTTTGCGCAGCTCTGCCCAGGACTTCAATCTACTTTGTACCTCCTTACAAATAGACATGTCCCAACTTGCTATAGACTTTTGCCATCAATGTGTGAGTGCCCAGAGCAGCTGTGCGTTTGAATCCGGTCTTTCACAATCTACAATATGGACTTTGTAGAGCCTAATAGTACATGTTAAATCCTTTTCCAGATTAAATTCCTGGGACATAACTTCACACAATCTCGCATCATTGTAATACTGATACAATAGTGCATTCATCAAACTACACTCTGCTAATTTCCCTGTAGGCAGTGTGTTCAATTTCACTGTGTCCCTGCCTTTAAAAAGCCTATAGCCCCCTCCCGAGCAGTCAGACCCCCTCTCCTCAATCTCCACTTCCTTCTGTGTAGAAAAACGCTGATATGTGCGTAAGAGTGCTTATTTTTCTCCTCCATTACCAGATTAATTAAAGTGTGCCTCTTGCCAATGCCCAGACGGATCTTCAATACTTCAAATGAGCTTAATCACCATGCACTTCCTAATCTCCTGCTAATTTAAAGAATTGCCTGGAACATACTGGCGACTGGACTCTCCCAATATGCTACCAGAGAGTATTATCTGGACAACTATGCTTAGACATACTAGTTCCAGCTATGGCACAATCAAACGCTTCAATGTATTTCATGTGAAGAGGAGCTTTGCAGAGGCTCCCCATTTGGATACGGCGCTTAAAGATTTCACCATGTTGTGTGACGTGTAATGCAATGGTTTCCTCTGCCGGTGTTTTGTGGAGATAGTGCTGGGGCATAGATGCTGAGTGGTGTGTGTGTGCATTCTGGGCGGGCAGTCTTGTAGCTCTTTGTTGTCCACTTGTCAAGATGGATTTGGTCATTGGCTGCAGCGAGCAAGACTGACGCGAGAGCACGCAGCAGCAGCCTGGAGGGAAAGACAAGCTCTGCCCACTGTACTGATTCACACTGGACAACGTCTCTTGTTGTATAAAATGTCCCACGCTCATTAAGAAGAATGCATATTTAATTCCTATGTTTGTACAGTTCTTATGTGACGGCTAGTGTTTTTTCCTCATGAGTCATTAATGTAGTTATAGCCTATTAATTGTTTATGACAAATTCCCATGAACGTTTCATTTAAATGACTGTTTGTTCAGAAGCTCTTAAAACACAAAATGAACTAATTCCATTGAGATATCGAAGCTTCAAGATGTTGCAAGGCAAATCAATTATTGAGTAGGGCAGACTTTCCATTCTCTAATGCATATGCACAAAATAAATATATCTTAAGTGAGTATCTTTATAGTACTGCACTCCAGAGACCACAGCAATATCTGTGTCCACAGCTTGTTCTCTCTATGCAGTCAGCTGCTCATATTTGCATACAGTTATCAGGTGTCTGCTTATGGCCTCATACTGGACTTCTATCACCTGCGTGTCCTGCACGTATTCTCCAGACAGCTGTCATCTGGTGCCTTTTCCCCTGTGTTTGTTCAAAAGCTTGGATAGATTTTCTTAAAGTGGAAAACAGCCTGATTCATCAACAAGGACAACGCTGGTATTGGCGCCATCCATCTCTGACAATTGAAAAAGCCTCTAAATAAATCATTTATCCCACCGTCAGTTAA